GGCGGGGAGAGAGACAGAGCTGGGAATTCCGCGCTCACCTGGATAGCGTTGGTCACGTTCCAGCCCGCCTCCCACGCCGTGATCTTGGGCTTGTCGTGGCCCCCGAACTCGCCACCAGCTCCCAGGGACTGGTCCTTGGAGCCCGAGGGCGGCAGGGGCGCGCCGCCGCCTCGCTGGTAATGGATGTCTCCCTCGACGGGCGGCTCAGCGCCCTCGTCCCCACAGGGCTCGCCCTCGGTTTTCAGGATGTCCATCTGCAGGCCCTGACGGTGCTCAAAGTCGAGGTCGTCGCAGTGCGCGAAGCCCACCGCCTCCTCGTCGGTGGCCGCCTGAAAACCCATCCTGGCGAACATGCCGCTCACCTTGGCCTGGGACTTGTTGGATACGGACGTGGCCACGTTGGACAGCTTGCTGCGGAGCAGGGTGGCCATGGCGGCAGCGGGGCCCGAGAAAAGGACAGAAGGGGCTGGGGACGCGGGGAACGTACGGCAAGGCGGTTTGGGCCACGGGGGCGCGAGACCGCTATCTTCGCTCGCTTTCCCCGCGGCGCCCCGGGGCGCTCTGGCTCATGACCCCCTCGGCTGGCGTCTGAGGCTCGCTCAAGGCCGACCCAGAGGGCGGGCAGCGGGGCTGGCGGAGCGGCGGTGGCGAGTGCAATGCGGAGCTGCCGTGGGGCGCGGGCTGGGCTGCGGAGGGCGGCGGTGGCGGCGGCGGCGGCGTCAGAGCATCTACGCGAAGCTGGCGCGGCGCCCCCAACAGCGCGCAGCCCAAAGCGCTCCCGCCCCTCAGAATCAGGCGGGGGCGGAGGGGCTGGGGAGGGAGAAACTCCGGGAGGTAGGAGGAGTGAGGAGAGGGCAAGGAGAAAAGAAAGGGGGCACCAAGGGACTTCGGAGAACCGAGATGGGGACAGGAGAAGGGCGCCCACGGAAGGGAGCAGGAGGGAGCGCGCGAAGGAGGGGTGTGGAGGGCGGGGTGGGGGCCGGAGTGCTGCATTTCTGGAGGAGGTGCTAAACTCCGATCCTGGCCCTTCCCACCTCGCCGCCGCAGGGAGGGAGGGGGCCCGAGCGGGCAGATCCTCTTGGTCCCCTGTCCCTGGCTACCCCCTCCAGAGTTCGCGAGCCTTTCAGCCCCAGATCCTCTGGCCAAGGACTGGTCTAGACCCCCAGAAAGGCAGCAGGACAGTTACCTGTCTCCGGCGGCCCAGGCCATCTGGGCATCGCTCTGTCTCCCTGGCACCCATCACCAGCACTTCACCCTCGTCGTGAGCCCCCCTTGAAGGCAGAAGTGTCCGGCAGAAGTGGAGGAACGCTCTCAAGAAGGCTCAGTCCCGGCCTCGGTCACTGGGGCTGTCTCCTCCCGTCCAGGGACGCCGAGATGGAAGTGATTCTGCGGGTTGTTCGCCACCAACCGTTCTCCAAACGTGTGCATAATGAGGGCGAGAGGTTGGCTGTTCGCTTTCTTTTCCTTTGGGGGTCTGGAAGGAGGAAGGACTGAAGGCACCTGTCAACAGCCTCGAGGCGGGTCTGCGAGTGCCCGCGCCGCGGTGGGGCGCAGCTGGTGCCTGGCACAGAGGAAGGAAGGGCTCGCGGCGGGCCCAGGGTGGGGAGGCGCGCTGTGCGCCCCGGCCCTGCTAGCCCGGCGGCTGCCGGGGGCTGTGCAAACCTAGGCTGTTTCCGTTGAGTGGGTTGCGTGTAGCTGGAGAGCAGGAGAAAGACCCAGAGACAAAGACCGACACTGTACCAGGTATTGCTACGGGCTGGAGCTGAGCAGACTCCGAGGGTGAGATTTGGTAACCATGTTTATTCTGTAAGTGCATAGTTTTGCGCGCATTTGAGCCTGTGTGTGCGCAGAGCTTGTGTGCTGGATTATATGTGTATATGTATTCCTGAATGGGTTGCTTGCGGTTTTGCCTGTAGGTGTCCTTTTGTAGTGTCTCCGTGCGGGTCCGTGGCTCGGTGTGTTCCCAGCTGGGCTCCTTCCCCCGGGTTCTTAGGCACTAAACAGCAGCGTTGGCGACCTGGCCGTCCCAGCCTAGGTACAGGAGGACTAGTGGCTGTGACTGGGGGTGGGATGGGGAGAATCTGAAGGAAACGAAAAGAAAGGGGCTCCCAGTGACCCCCTTCTCAATACCCAGTCTCTCTGAGAACCCCAGTCTCCTCCTCCCCTGCTGTGTTTCTAGATTAGCTCAGGTCAGCGCACAAGCAGGACGGCCTGAGGGCTTTGACAATCGCGCTGGAGCTGCCAGGAGAAGACAGGCTTCCCCTCTACCTCCTAACCCTCCCTGCCCACACCCCCAGCGCCTCACGGTCTCTGAGAATCCCCTCTCCTGATACGGAACCTCCACCACATTGGGCAGAGATGCTAGTAATCGCTCCCAGGTACCCCCCTTAAATTCCCCCAAGAGCCTGCCTGGCAGAAAACAGAAACCCTCTGCCCTAGCGTGAAGCATTCCCCACCACCACTATGACAAGAAAACCTCTCCATAGAGCCTTCTCCCAGACACGGACCCTCCAAATCATGATAGGACTCAGAACAAAGACAGGACAGAGATCCTTCCCCCAAACACAGACATTCATTCCTCCAAAGAGGCTTTGAAAAAAACAAACAAAAAAAATTAAATGATCTCCCAACCCAGAGATTTGCCCTAGAGACAGACCCTCCCCACCACAAACCTCAGATGCTAGGGAGAGAGAGCCTTTCCCCTACAGATTTCTATAGACAAAGATCTCTATCTCCTAATTCTCATCCCTCCCCTTCTATTCTTGGTGAAATTCTTTAGCTGCACAGGAGATAATCTGGGCAGAGACAAGACTTCCCTAGGGCTCCCTTCCACCCCATACATACCCAGCCCTGAAGATGGTCATTGATGCCTTCTTTGACAAATGAATCAATAACACATATGTATCAGTTGGTCATTGCCAATTTGTGTGTGGATTTTATGAGGGTCCGGGGTGCTTATCCTGTCTTTCCTTTTCCCCACTGATGTTCACTGCTGTAGGACCCAAGGTGGGCTGTGAAGTTCTTGCAGTATTGAGAAATGAGGTCATTCATTCACTCATTTATTCATTCATTCAGCAAAATTTCTCAAAGCTTATTCTGTGTGTGACTCTCTTTTGGCTGAAGATGACACAAGCACGGTCCCTGTTTCTGCTTCTCACCCCAATTCTTGGGACTGCGGGTGGGGACCCCAGAGAGCACTCAGGCCAGTCACCCTCTCTGCAATGCTTAAACCATCCCTAAAACATCCCAACAGAGCCTCACTTTCATTCTCATTGTACAGAGAAGCAAACCCAGGCCCAGCGGGAAGGTGTCCTGCGAAAGGTCATGCAGAGTCCAGGGCAGAGCTGGGCTAGGACAAAGGAACCCTGATGCTCCTCCAGTGCGCCTTCCCCTCCACGACCTCATCTTGGAAAATCCTGCCCCATCATGTACTAGCTGTGTGACATTGGGCGACTCACTTAATATGTCCCAGCTTCCATTTCCTCATCACTAAAATGTGAAAATAACAACAGACCCCTGGAGTTCTTGAGGGGATTCAATGAGATTGTGTATATAAAATTCTTAGCATGTGCTAAGGGTCCCAATACATGGTAGCAATTATTTTATTATTATTGTTGTTGTCGCTATAACCCAATGGCCGTGTTTCATTGTTTGGGGGAAAGTGAGTGTACGAGAAAAAGCCTGTGATTGGGGCTGAGAGTCGAAGTGAGTTGAATGCACACCCTCTGGCTTTGCCACCCCTCTCTGTCCTCACCCCTCCCAGTCCTGGACTGACCATAAGGGAAAAGAAGGAAGGGCAGGAAGAACGCAGAGGGCAGGGGGCCTGGCAGGCAGCCCCAGGAGGCAACCAGGACCACCTATCTATCTGGTATTAAGACTGGGCTGTGCTCTAGTGAAGCCATCATCTTCTGAATTCTCTTACTTGCTCCTCTAGGGGCACCCTCAGGAGAGGAATTTGCAGCTGCTTGGCCCCCTGAGTTGAAACACAACATGCGCATACACACATCCACTCACACACAGATAGTGACAAGCCAGTTGACAGATGCACAAAGAAATGAGGACCAACACACAGATTCAAGTACATTAGCAGATTCACACAGCTTAACAGAGCAACACACATAGGTCAGAAACAGGCCAGCACATACACACACTGACAGACACCCAGACACAGGAACACACACACACACACACACACACACACACACACACACACACAGATTCACAGTGAGACCTATCATCAGGCACCCACAAAAACAAGAATACCCCTATGTGACCACGAAAGGGAAAAGAGGAGAGAACAAAGAGAGGAAAGGTGCAGAGGAGACATAAAAAGGAACATGCTAGAAGAGGCAGCAGGGAGACAGAGCAGGACGTGCTAGACAGAGACAGCAACTGGGGAGCACAAAAGAGACAGAGTTGCCACAGCCTTCCACTTGGCCGATGTCAGAACCCAGATCTGTGACTAAGATAATGTGGATGGCGGGTGAGGAGGCAGGAGCTGCCCCTGCTGCCTGTCCTGGGTGTGGGGATGGGGGTTCTCCTCCCAGGACCACACAAAGTCCCACCCTCTTGGGGGACCTGGGCTGCCTGAGAGGGAGCAGTGAAGGACTCCCAGGACTCCTGCCAAGTCCCATGAAGCTAAACCTGTATTCTGGATTGGTCCTGCCATCCGGACCAGGGTTGGGGGACGGCGGGTGTCTCTCTTCCAAATGAGGTTATTCTCTCTATTTTTGATCAGTAGCCAAAGGGTTAAACACCTGGCTAGCAGAGATGGAGGACACTTTGGGGGAATAAATAGGGTTAAATAGAACTGGGCTTATCTCCCAGAGCAGGCAGCACCATGGGGGTGGAGCATGGAGCCCTTGAATTAATGGCCTGGAAAGCCAACATCATGAGCATCGTTTCGGGGCTGAATGATCACAGACAGACCCCCCTCCTCTTCCTTTTCCAGAGCATATTCTGTCCGTGAGCCTTTTCCTGCTATGGGGACAGGCGCTGGCTCTATAAATCACCCTTCCCCCATCAAGCTAGTGCATTGGCTTGAGAAAGTCATGCCCATCTTGCCTCAAACCAGAACCCAATTTCCTGATGCTGAGTCCATGGGCACAAGGGGGGAGAGGGGGCAGCAATCCATGCCCAGAACAAAGACCCTGATTCTTCTCCCTTTGGTGAGACAAATCAGGGGGCACCATGGATGGTGAAGATGCTGCCTCTGCTAGCTCAGGGTGAAACATATCAAAATATATTAATGACTTTGTAAATATTAGCAGTTTTCCTTGCTGAAATAGAGAGCATGCCGTCTCTGGAGGCATGCAGGCAAAGGCTGGATGTCCTCTCAGAGATCATGTGGAGTCCTGCCTCAGGGCAAGGGAGGCTGGATTGCACGAGTTCTGGGCTTCTAGGTTCATGCCTTTGTGTGCATGGCTCTGAGAAGAG